AGATAGAAATGTATCAGATACTATTCGAAAGGACATTTTGGTGAGTGATTTAAGGTAGAACTGATAAATCATTAAGAAATTCTCATCATGCCGGAACCGGTTTGGCTCAGTGGACAGAGCGTCAGTCTGCGGACTGAAAAGTCCCGTGTTTGATTCCGGTCAAGGGCATGTACCTTGGTTGCGGGCGCATCCCCAGTAGGGGTGTGCAAGAGGCAGCTGATCGATGTTTCTCTCTCATCGATGTTCTAACTCTCTATCCGTCTCTCTTCCTCTCTGTAAAAAAAAAAAAAAAAAAAAAAAAAAAATCAATAAAATATATATTTTTTTAAAAAAAGAAATACTCGTCATGAACATTTTATGCTGTAGGCATGGTGTTGGGTGCTAGGTTTAGAAATATGCCTGATAATTGTTGAGAGATGCAATCCACCATGGTTACAGATTCCTTCTGTGGAATACACAGACATATTCAGGAGCCTCATTTGTGTTTCTTGATAATTTCTATCAATTCTAGACCTCCCAAATATTAATTAAGTCAGGATCATCAACAGTGAAGATTACAAGCTTGCCCACCTACACATATTTTAACAGTATATCTCTGGATTACATACATTAATAAAGAATTAAAACACAATAGTGTTTTTAAATGACTTTAGAACAATGAAGTAAAGTTAGGATTTGAACAAAATATTTAGATGTTTTTTGAAAAAAACTTTAAAGAATATAGAAAAGCAGCAGAATGCTAGGGGTAAAACAAAACAAAACAAAAAATAATAAATTAGCTCATAGCCATATAGGGAAGGATTGAACTTCATACCTCATGACAAAGACTCTAGAATAACAATGTATTTTGAAAGGGGGTAATAATAATAAATATGAATAATAATAATTATGCACAGTGGCTAAACCCACAAATCAAAGAACCATTTTTGAATGTATGTAGTGTGGGAAAGTCTTTTGTACAAGTCTCTGCATTTATACTTATAGATATGGAATATATGCTAAGTTAGAAATTACCCTATGAATAAACATCAATCTTAACAGATTATTTCATCAAGTAATATTTTATGTAAGTCAATGCTTTTCATCCAACAATCAAGTCCACATTGTTTGATTTAGAACGTATTTTGTGTCAATGTTATAAACATGGTTAATTTTCCATTTCTATCCCTCTAGGGCATTTAACAAATACAGCTATTGCTTTTATATTATGCACAGTGTCTGAAATTAAGTGCTTTTATATTGAGAACTGCAAGCATTTGCATCAATAGGAGAGAGCAATGGGGTCTAAGAACTGAGACCACATGGTCAACATGATTCATTTGTTTGTTACAGGAAATCTTTGCCCAGAAAAGATAAAGCTGTAAACTACTAAATAACTTCATTGTTGCTTCAGGAAATTCCCATATATTCATTTATCTCAAACAAACAATCTTCTCACCTTGGCAAAGAGTTCACTTACTAAGGCAACAGTTTGCTTATCAAGACTTGCTTCAAGACTCTCACCTTGGTATAGATACTAATCATAAAAATATTGTGGCATGAACTTTTCCAAATCCCAGCCTGTTCTCCATCTAAACCACTTGAGCCCAGACTCCCAGGTTCTATTAATACCCTCCTCACCCTTTCCCTTCAGAGACTGTCAAGATTGTCACAGCAGCCGAGACCGGTTTGGCTCAATGGATAGAGTGTCGGCTTGCAGACTTCGATTCCGGTCAAGGGCATGTACCTTGGTTGCGGGCATATCCCCAGTAGGGGGTGTGCAGGAGGCAGCTGATCGATGACTCTCTCTCATCGATGTTTCTAGCTTTCTATCTCTCTCCCTTCCTCTCTGTACAAAATCAATAAAATATATTAAAAAAAAAAAAAAAAAGATTGTCACATTTTTTTGTTGGCTCAATGAGCCGGTTGGCTCAATGTCGGCCTGTGGATTGAAGAGTCCCAGATTCAATTCTGGTCAAGGGCACATGCCTGGGTTGCGTCCCCAGTAGGGAACATGTAGGAGGTAGCTGATCAACGATGCTTTCTCATCATTGATGTTTCAATCTCTCCCTTCCTCCCTGAACTCAATAAAAATATAGTTAAAAAAGAAGATTGTCAGGACAGTCTTCTGTTATTGCAGAAAGTTCTAATAAATATAGTTTTGCTTTATTAACCAGTTATCTAACAATATTTCAAGTGAGTTCAATAATATATATTTTAATTCTTTTAATCCTCATAACACTCTTATTAATATAGGTTCTATTATTTATATGCCTTTTAGAGATGAGAAAACTGAGTATACTGAATAAAGTGATTGATCCAAGGCCACAAAACAATTTAATTCACAGAAATCTAAACCATGGTAATAATATTACTGTACCATTCTTCCCCTAAGTCAATCAATTTGAAGAATCTCTGAGGAATTCTTTCTATTTTCTGACTCTTTCCACCCTGAGCCTCTAATTACTGTAATTAGTAATTTTACTGTCTGTCTTCCTCATGGCACTGGGGCCACTTTGTGGACAGGGATATACCATAATCTCTGCTTTATGGTAGGCATTTATAAAATAAATTTTATATGAAACTCCACTTTACAACAGAGGTTCTGAGATATTAGCTCACCCAGAAAGGAACTGCCAGAACTGATGCTCCCACCAATGCACCATATTCTCTTGCTCCACTGAAAATGAGTTCTCAAAGAGTAGTTTTAATGAGATGAAAATCTATAAACATTACAGTCCCACAAAAATATTTCTTTGCTCTTGCTATAATATTATCATCTCAGTGTGATCATACAGGCCATCTCATGTTGATTAGATGCCTCAATCAAACAGGTGCCTCTGATTAATAAAAATAAAACATTAATTAAAATTGCAAAAATATTTTAAAACATAGGGAAGTTCTATGTAGTTTTATTGATATTGAAAGAGTTGTAACTTTCTATTCTAAACTATGCTTTATACATATAAAGTTCTTTTTTTCTTTACTATGATGAGAAATGAATATCCTATAAATATTGGACAGCAGAGAAAAGTTTAAAATTTTACATATAAGGTATGTTATGAAAGGAAAGAGAGTAGGCTGGAAAGGCTTTTTGCCCATTCTGAGATAGCTATTAATAAACAATATGAGAAAATAATATAAAATAAACAACCTAAAGACACACATCAACCAAATGCAAATATGTAAACCCCATTTTGTTTCTGAATTGAACAAATTGATATAAAAGACTTTGTGAGCCAATAATGGAAATGTGAATAGAGCTTATTATGAAAAAAATCCATAACTTAGAAATATATACTAAAGTATTTATATAGAATAATAAACTGCTTGAGATTTGCTTTAAAATTCTCGGGGGGTGGGTAGGGTTGTGGTGGTGAATGTGTGTGTGTGCATGCTCACATGTGTAAATATGAAACAAAATTAGTAAAATGTTGATAATGGTTAAGTTTGTGATAAGTACATGGGGATTCATTACAGTCTACTCTCTATTTCTACATATTTGAAATTCCCCAGAATAAAAAATGGCTACTTTCACCCATATTATAGTAGGTATACAAAGTATCTGATCATTCATATATTTATTGGCTGTAAACTCCAGATTAATATAGAAATTCAAAGCAAAACATTCTTCTCATCTGTGGATAGAGTCCAGCATTTATGAAAGCAGTTATATCTCTGGATAGGAGACTTTTATAAGGTCTCTAGCTAAGCAACAAGGAAGACTCTCCAGCTGTTCACCTCTTCTGCGTGTATCAGAAACCTCCAGTCTTCTGCTAATGAAAGAGACATGTACCACACGGGGCAGAGTGCTGACCTTCTCTCACTCACTAATGCTTTACTCAGTGGCTTTTTACAGAGCACAAAGCAATTTCATTAAGTGCCAACGCACCTCTTTATTTTAAGGTAAACAACCTCAAGAAACCTTAAAAACAAATATCTCACTATAAGATGCATATTCCTTAAAGAGCATAGAATATTCCATCTTGTAACTTCGATTAAAACACAATGTAAAATATAATTTATATCAGGCACTTTCTATGTCTGGTCTGGTTCCGGGATATTTCTTTCCTTCAAATGTGGATTTTAATCTTCTAATAACATGAAAAGTCTTTCCAAAATGTGAAGAAAAAGGCAAATAATCTTTAGTACAACTAATTTTACTATACCTATACTTTTCCTCTTTTAAAAAAAATAAAGGCAAACTGTGGTATGTAGTAAATATAAAGGGTCTCAAATATTGAACAGAAAACAAGGCTCAGCCAGATCACATAACTTGGTTGGAGCATTATCCTATAAACCAAAATGCTTGTGGGTTTGATTCCAGGCCAGGGCACACACCTAGGTTGCAGGTTTGATCCCCAGTCCAGGTGAGTATGGGAGGTAACCAATTGCTGTTTCTCTCTCACATCGATATTTCTCTGTCTCTTTCTCTCTCTCCTCGCTCATTTTATCTCTCTCTAAATTCAATGAAAATGTCCTTGGGTGAGGATTAAAAAAACAACACAAAAAAGAAAACAAGTTTCAAAATACAATGTCCTATTTATGTACTAAATCAGGAATGTAGATCAATCCTTTTTTTAAAAATATATTTTGTTGATTTTTTTATGGAGAGGAGGAGAGAGGGATAGAGAGCTAGAAACGTCGATGAGAGAGAGAAACATAGACCAGCTGCCTCTTGCACACCCCCTACTGGGGATGTGCCCGCAACCAATGTACATGTCCTTGACCGAAATCGAACCTGGGACCTTTCAGTCCGCAGATCAACGCTCTACCACTGAGCCAAACCGGTTTCGGCTGTAGATCAATCCTTTTATAATATTTTCATGTGTTATTTTAATTAAATGTTTTGACAATGAGAAAATGAATTATGGTAGCCTGTTGTTAGCTATTATTTTATTATTTATTTCAAATACAAGGAAGACAATGTTTTAAAAATATTTACATAACATGACATAAATGTTTAGAAAAGAAAAATTAAGAATAGATTCCACATTTGTGGATCTTGTTTTCTATTGACATCATTGCTGCTGTTTCAGAGCAATAACAGCATAACATCTGGGAGATTTCACAGGATCAAACAACTTCACAAGTGCGGACCATGCAATATCTTCCTGCAAATTGATAAGTGATTTAGAAATAAAACCATTTGTTGAAGATAAAAACGAGAGAGAAGTTAGGCTATATAATGTAATATTAAAAACTATGTAAAAACAAACCATATAAGATAAAACTATTCTTCGTTCAATAAAGTTAACATTCACAATTTTACCTTCAGAAATTTATGCTAAGGAAACAAAGATATACACAGAGAGTGAACTACAAGGTTACTCTTTGCTGTGATTGTGGAAAACTGAAACTTGCCAATAACAATGGGGTATTACTTAAATTATTATATGATGAAACATTATTCAGCTTCTGTAGTAAATTTAATGAGATGAAAAAATTTTCAATTAATGAAACAAATTAGATGCAAATAGCATTTACAATTTGATTTCAATTTTAAATAAAGTATAAACTATCTGCACATATATATTTTAGAGAGAAGCACTAAAAAACAAACCAAAAATTAAATAGTTAGTGCTTAAAGATGGCATCATTGTTAGTTTTAATTTTCTTTTTTATATTGTTTATTTTAAATTCCAAAATAAATATGTATTAATTTAATAAGGTATAATTAAAAATATTAACAAATGAATATTTATATTATTTCTATTATCTCATTACCAGTCTATTAATCTTTGTTCATATCATTTTTACTACCTATATACTTAAGTTAATAAAAATTGTTTTGAAAAGGAAAATGATGAACAAAGTTGGACTGATTCTGTCACCTACAACTGAACCAAAGCTTTGCAGTACAGTACTTTTTGAGTTAGTAGCTTAAGAAAACACATCATTTTCTTAATATTTAAAAACTGCTTTTCTCCATATAAATAAAATTAGAACAAAAGCAAACATTTATTAAAATCCATTTGTTCCAAGTAGCCCATAGAAAAGAAGAAAGCAAAGCTCCCCATATGATAAAACAGAACTGTTAAAATAAAGGGTTTATATAATGGAAACACAGCCTGAATCCACAAATGGGTTTAATTTAAACAGTTCACAAAACTTTTATTTTGATCAAAGCTGAGTAAAAGCTGCAAAAAACATTTTCCCTAAAGATAGCCCAAAGTACAATATCTTTAGTTATTCAACATAGATAAATACGATTGGAAAAAAAACAGAAGCAGTCTTCATTGATCAGAAAGAAGTTTCTGACTGCAGAGTGCATAGGTCCCAAAATTCAAAAGGGAAATAGAAGGCAAATTCTTACAAAATATAACATATATATATCTTTTATGTCTGCTCATTATTACTTTTAGCTGTACAATATGGAATATATGATAATTTGTGCTCACTGCCTACTGTATAGTAATTATCATACAATTAAAAGAATGTAAGCTTTATTATGGCAGCATTGCTGAAAACATCTGTTATGCACATGTTTACGTTTTAAAAAGATGGAATGAATATTTAAACTTTGAAAATATGATGACAAAGATCACCTTATGTTTTAATCTTAAGTTTGTGTTAAAGAAACTTATCCTTTATATAAGTGGATCCAAATTACTGAATTTAATAAAGATTTTTATTATGCATTTAAAAATAACACAACTTACCTGCTCTTTCAGGTAGCAAAGTCGATCCAGAAGAATCAATGTCTCTATACAAGGAGCCAGAACAACTTTCAACTAAAAGAAAAAATAAGATAAGATGGTATTACTTAAAAGGAAAAAAAAAAAGTAGCCAACTAACTTGATATTATGTTTAAAAAAAAGAAGTATCTAAAGAAGTTTGTATATGGCCAAATCTTCAATACCCATTGTACATCTACAGAAAATGAATACTGCCGAGATCAAAAGTTTCCTTTAATAAAAGGAAAAGAATGTCCTTTTAGTGACTTTGAGGTAGAATCCAAAGGCTATCATACACATGTGATGGAAAGCTTTTAAATGGGCACTAAGAATGAAATTCATTAAAAGGAATGCTTGTGAAATAACAGAATTGAGAGCAATATGTGTTCAAAGAACTCGGAAACTTCTTTCAGTGCATTTATAATACACTTTAAGAGAAATCTACCATGTGTTCTATTTATTACATTACTAACACCTAATATAGTTCTGAAATAGGAAGTGATCCCAAACGGTGTTTCTATAATAAGAGAAAAACAACATAGATTGGTTGGCCCCCTAATAAAATTTAATAGGATCCTATTCAATCCAGCAACAAACCCAATTTAAGATGTTTAATTCTGAGATTTACCATATTAAAAGCTTCCAGCTCATTCATTCTGGGCTTATACTTCTCATAGTAGTCCATTATCATTTTTTCTGGCAGCTTCAAGATAAAACAACAACAATATATTTAACAAAAATTAACATTTTTTTTATTATCAAACACACCGAAAAGTAAAATAAACATAACAAATGTGAAGAGTTCTGAGCATCTTCATAAAGCAAATCAATATAAATCAAAATTCTTTTTACTTAACTCTGCTGTACCAATATAGGTTATTTAGCACATCACAAATAAAATTACCAATAACATCCTATTAATATTGTTGAAGTTCAACGAGTAGTGATGAAATATTTACTCTGATTTGCTTTTATGCGAGGGGTACGTAGTAGAAACTTACTAAACATTTTTTGAATAAAATTACAATTTAAAACACTATCTAAAACTATACAATCTAAAGAAAATAATGCAAAATAATAGAAACACAATAATGATACAAATTCATATTTAAGGTTATTTCCTCTAACATCAACTAAATTAATCTATGAACAAGCATTACTCTTTGATTTTTCTTTCTCTAAAACGTATGATACCCACAGTCTGGGGAACCCTTGTGGTTAGCAGGCCACTCTCTGTTTTTGCTTACTGAGTCAACTGTATTTGTTTCTACACTGTTATGCTAGTTATTGTGATAAAATAATATAAATATTATGTAATCAATAATCAATGAAATATGAATGCAAAAAGTTGTTTCTATAAGTCGAGTGCCTCTGTGAAAAGCATGATAAAGGAGAGTCACCAGAGGAAACTGTTGTGGTCAAAACAAATAAAGACTGGACAAGAAGAGTAAAAAATCTGAAAAGCTTCATACTCATTTCTTTGCAAATGTATAAATAAATTTTTTTTTTTTTTGCAAAGCCCCTATTCCTCTTCTTATTGTACTAAATTTATTTTGAATTAAAAAAATAGAAAAGTGTAACAGTAAAAAAAGTGAGGCTTTGTCTCATCCAATTTTTAGTGTAGCCTTCCAATAAAGATCCTGTTAAGACTTTGCCCATCTTTGACTCAAATGCATACGCCTGAACCAAGTTTCTGCACTAGAGTATATTGGATTGGATCCAGACCTGCACTTCAAGCAAGAAAAAATGCTCATTTCACAAAATTGTGTGTAAGTTAGTCTTTAGTGTTTACTTTGCTCTGACCATCTGAGATCAGCAATTATGGGACAACATGCAATCTTTGTTCGATCCTGCCTCACCAGCACACTGCTCCCTACAAACATGGTATTTCAGTGTGATGCCTGGGTTCTCCAATATTCTATTTCTCATTTATGCCAGACTGGAAGCACCACATAAACAAGGAATTGTTGGTTTACAGTTCTCTAAAGTAGCTCAGGATATGCTACTTCAGAGAACTGCATTATGTTGGTTTTGTTGTTCATCTGTATAACCCTAGGCATGTTCTCTTGGCATCCTTATGCATCCCTCTTTACCTTCACTGCACGGTTTGAGTTTTAACATGCTGTCTGATTTTGTCAAAGAAGTTTGTATTTCTGTTTCTCTATTTGTTGCTTTAGTGGATTCTGAAGGGGAAAAAAGTGACAATCTCATCTTGCTCTTTAAAAAATGGAAGTCTGTTGCTTCACTTAATGTGAAACAAAGCTGGATGTTATAAATTATACATTATAGATAAGTTTGATGCAAAATTTTCAGGTAAAATTTCAAATAGTGAAACTATATGCAAACCTGTTTCATAAAGCAAAACAAATGGCCTTGTTCTTACACCAAAAGTTTGGTGAGTAAAAGTATATTAATATATTTTGAAGAAAATATTCAATGTTTAAGGTATGATTTCATGCTATAATCAACTTTGTAAATTAAATGCTCAACTACCAGACTGATCAGATCAGAGATTGTAGGAAAATCTAAAAATAAAGATGCTATATCATTTAATCCTAACATCAATCTATAACATACATATATTCATGGAATCATTTTATATTATTTTTAATTTTTAAATATATTTGTATCAATTTCAGAGAGGAAGGGATAGAGGGAGATAGAAATATCAATGATGAGAGAATCACTGATTGGCTGAGTTCTGCACACCCCTCACTGGGTACTGAGCCCACAACTTGGGAACTGAACCATGACCTCCTCCTATTCATAGGTTGACACTGAACCACTGAGCCATACAAGCCAGGCCATTGCCACATTTTAAAGATTACAGAGTGTTAAAGCCACTGAAAGTCTAGGTAGGACCAACATCCTACAGATAAAGGAAGGTATCAGAATTGAGGTACTGCTTGGTGCAAATCGTTCTTAGGTAAAGACATATGTGGACACTTAAGTGCACATTGAATGGTACTGGGAGTATTAGTCATGAAATCCATTGCTCCCTGCTGCCCATCCCCTAGACTCCAGAAAAAGGGAGTAATATGAGTTATGCTGTGTAATAGGGCATTAACTCAGTGGGCTATACATATTATAGATTGGGTTCAGAGAAATATCTAGTCCTCAAGAAAAACTAGGGTGATAAAGTAAATGCACAGCAATGTTCAGGTGTTATAGATTCCCCCTCTCCCCACTGTTCTTATAAGTTTTGTACAATTATTATATCTTCAAAATAGCCAATGTGTTAAAAAGTATATGTTATTATTCAACCCATTTCAAATGCCTGACCAATTTCATCCTGTCTGTACAAGTCTTAAGAGTCAAAGTTCTGGATAGAAGCATCTTTTTCTTCAATGAGATTCAGCATTCCTTAAATTCTTCTGCTTTTACTTCAGACCTAGATTGTTCAGTCTAGTTTAGATGTGCATTTGTTTTGTCTGTTGGTTAGCACAAATTTCCTCTTTCTTCTTCCTAATAGGCTTATTTGTCTGACGACCACTAGTTTTGGAAAACTATAAACACTCTTCCATTGCTCCATGTCTGTTATCAAGTCACATAAAAACTAGGGGCCCGGGCAGGCCCGGGGCATGAAGTTCGTGCACAGGTGGGGTCTCTAGGCCAGGAGGGCAATCAGGGCCAACGAGGTCAGGCTCATCAGGACCTGAGAGACCCAGTGGGGTCAGGAGAAGAGATGACGGTGGCCGGGCCAGGTGTGGAAGGAACAGATGCTAGACACCAGCGCTGCTCTAGGTCCCCCACTACCCCATGGTACCCTGCCTCCCCTGCTCCTTCCCTCCGAGCCTTGCCATCACTGGGGGACTGCTGGCTGGGGGAGGGGCCAGGGGACGATTCCATCCCCAGTTTGGAATGCGCAGGAGGCAGCCAATCAATGATTCTCTATCATCATTGATGTTTCTATCTCTATTTCCCTCTCCAAAATTAATCAAATATATATTTTATAATGCAAGGTTTTTAAAGGAAGAAATGTAGGGCAAGGGAGCTATTGACAGGGTCATCTGAGGTCTTGCTCACATTTCAGATAGGATAACATAAGGTGGTCCTCAGGGGGTGACAGGGGAGGGGTGGCAGTGGCTGGAGCAGGGCACTGCGGGCTGAGGAATGGGCTGTAATGACTGGGGATGTCTGTGACAGTGACATCAAGCATGTGTTGGGGCCATCGCTGGGATCATTCATCCCCAAGAGGTTTTGATTCCAGACGGGAGGAGAAACACAGAGATTAGCAGGCCTCTCTTAGCCCAGAAGGTGATGCGGGCGGCAGGAGCAGGCTGCCCTGCTTGCCTACAAATGTAAACATGCAGTGTAACTGCAAAGGGATGTCAGTCACATGGCCGAATCAATGCCCAGCCAGCGCGCTGGTGGCTGTGTCCTGCCCCTCTCTGGCTGTGCAGCAATATTGGCTGGGGGGCGGGCAGAGGGGGAGGCTGCGCTGAAGCCACGCCCCCAAGTGCATGCAGTACATGAAGGGGTGGGCAGGAAGCCAGAAGCTGGAAGTTGGAACTGAGGAAGCTCAGCAGTGTTGCATCTGCCATAGAGCTGGATGGGGAGCAGCTGTGGGTGCAACCGGCTTTGGAGTATGAGGGGCTGAGCTTCCTATACGTCACCAATGAGTTCCTGCAAGCCTGCGGCATGCCAGCCGTGTCAGCCGGGCCAAGTGGGGTCTAGGGAGGCCTTTCCCTCCTGGAGCAGGTCTTTCCCTGGTGGCAACGCAGGCTGTTTTCTTTTTCTTTTCTTTTTTTTTTTTTGGAAAGCAAGCTCAGCCTACAGTTCCTGTGATCCCTGGGCCATAACATGCACCTCCAGGCTTCACTGTGCCCCCCTCTCCCTCCTCCTGCGTTGAGTGTCGGGCCCCTGGTGGTCAGTGCGCATTATAATGACTGGTAGACTGATCCTTCTGGTTGCGCTGCCATTATGGTCACTGGGCTTTTATTATAGAGGATGACAAAAAGGAGCATGGGGTCTAGAGTTAGACAGTCTGAATTGGAATCTTTCCACCCCAAATTTCCTAGATTTTGGCCTTAGGAAATCCATTTAATCCTCACCAATAAAATGAGGGTAACTACTCCTTGCATAAGGTCACCCGTAGTCTTCAGTGAGCTAACACAAACCAAGCTTTATAGCACAGTGTCTGGCACAAAGGCTCAACAGCTAGCTTTTCTCATATTGTTCTTTGTAAAATAAACTATATTTTTAAAGTTTTAGATTTACAGAAATTTCGAAGATAAGTTTTCACATAACTACTTGTCCCTATTAAACATTACAATAAAGGTTTCTGTTATAATAAGTGAACCAATATTGATACATTGTTATTAGCTAAAATCCGTGTTTTATTCAGATTTCCTTAATTTTTATCTAATGTCCTTTTTCTGATCCAGGACCCCATCTAGGACACCACATTGCATTTATTCCTACTGACTGTGAGAATTTTTCGGACTTGCCTTGATTTTGATGACCTGGGCGGCTTGAGGAGTACTAATCAGACATTTTGCAGAATTTTCCTTTTCTGGGATTTTGTCAGATGTTTTGCTCATAATTTGACTAGAGCTATGGGTTTTTGAGAGAAAGACCAAAGAAGGTCAATGTTCCTACATTATAGCAAAGGCACATACTGTCAATATGACCTATCACTGTTGATGTTGACCTTGATTACCTGGCTGAGATGTTTGTCACATTTCTTCACTATAAAATTCT